GGGTCCCTGAACTCATGTGGAAGACCTAGACAGAGTTCTATGCTCTTGGCTTCGACCTGGCCAAGCTCCAGCCACTGCAGCCAGTTACACAGTAAACCACTGGGTGAAGATTCTGTTTCAATCTTTCAAATAAATACATAATCTCTTAAAATTCCCTTTCTAGTTTTACCATTTCTAAATTGCTTCCAACATTTGTCCTTTATTCAACTTTTGCTTCCCATCTCCTTGAAATTCTCACCTTAGCTTCATGCAGAGGAATAGCATGTACAATGTCAGGAAGTGCTCGGGTTACAAGCCTTATTTAAGCCTTGGCCCTAGTTCCTAAGAAGCCTATAGCAATGAAATTGAACGACTTTACAATCAATGACTACGTCCACAACTCCAGATAGAAATAATAGAATTATGAGTAGGCTCATTTTACAAAGTCAATTTAACCAAAATAAAATACAAGTGCATATTATGCTACCCATTACCTTATAGGCATTATCTTACTAAATTATTTAATCCTTATAACTACCCTATGAAGTTATCTCTATTTTTATCTTTATTCTATAGGAAAGGAAATAGGAAAACACCTCGAGCATTCTGAACTAGGTGTAGTCTCCAAAAGACATTCCTTTCCCACCCAAAGAAAAGACTTGAGGGGATAAGAGTTAGGAGAGTAAACCCTCACATGATGTAGAACCACGCTGCTCAAAATGGTTAAACATTTAGAGCAGTGGACTTTAGAGTGAGGCCCTTTGCAACAGATGTGGGCCTCACTCACTGACCGGGAGGCCACCGAGCACCTGAACTGTGTGATATGCTCTAGCTAGAAAGATGCACCCAATTTCAAAGACTTAGTACCAGAAAAAGGCTCATCTCACAAATAATCGTCTATTGATTAGATGCTGAATTAGAAATTAACATTGGGCTAAATGATGCATAATTGTGCAAGTAACTTTTTTTTTTACAGTTTCAATATAGCTACCACAAATTTTTTTTAAATATTTGCTTATTTATTTTATTGGAAAGTCAGACATACAGAGAGGAGAGACAGAGAGGAAAGATCTTCCATCCGATGATTCACTCTCCAAGTGAGCACAATGGCCGTTGCAACACTGATCCGAAGCCAGGAACTTCGGAACAACAGCCTATGAAACTGTCACATAATGCAATGTAATTAATAATAATAATAATAAAAGTAAAGGTACTGCTAAAAAACAACAACAACAACGGATGCATGTAAAAGAGATACAGGAAACAACTGAAAGCTCCTCTAATCACCAGATCTGGAACAATTTCAGCAGCAAAACAATTCATGCTGAATTTTTTTTTTTTAATTTCAAATATTGGAAGAAATGCTAGTGGAAATTATTTAAGATTTATTTATTTTTATTGCAAAGTGAGATACATATATAGAGAGGAGGAGAGACAGAGAGAAATATTTTCCATCCAATGATTCACTTCCCAAGTGAATGCAACAGCTGGAGCTGAGCCAATCCGAAGCCAGGAGCCAGGAGCTCTTCCGGGACTCCCACAGGGGTGCAGGGTCCCAAGGCTTTGGGCTGTCCTCAACCGCTTTCCCAGGCCACAAGCAGGGAGCTGGATGGGAAGTGGAGCTGCTGAAGTTAGAACCGGCGCCCATATGGGATCCCGGGTGTGCAAGGAGAGGACTTTAGCTGCTAGGCCATGGCGCTGGGCCCTAGAGCTGAATTATAATCAAGGTATAAAATAAATAATCCAATGTCCATACTAATAAAACTGATTGAATAAACAAATAGGGAAGAATAAACAAATCCTTCATACAAAAGATTTCTGCCCCTTAAAGTTGTGGAGCACAACTCCAAAGAAAAGTAAAGAAAAGGAGAAAAAAACTACAGTAGAAAATCTTGACAAAACTGCAGCAGGCATGTGACAACACTCACCGTTCACCAGTGATAACCATCAGTGATCAGTCACACTGACAGCACATTCCTGAGAAATTACACAGAATGGCATTTTACTTCTCTCCCGAAACAAATCCATAACACCAGTCTCATTAGAAGGAAACTATTGCATTTGAGACAATGAGGGGTTCATTATATTACATGCAATAAGGCAGGCAACGAAAGACAAGTACAGCACAAACTTTCTTAATCAGAATCTAAAACACTGAGCTCATAAAATTTAAGAATGGAACGGTGGTGAACAAAAGCTAGAGAAAGTAGGGTAAAGAAAAACACGGGGAAAGTTGATTAAGAGGTACCAAGCTGGGCCCGGCACTGAGGCCTAGCAGCTTCCTTGCCTTGAACGTGTCAGGATCCCATATGGGCGCCAGTTCTAATCCCCTGGCAGCCCCACTTCCCATCCAGCTCCCTGCTTGCAGTCTGGGAGCAGTGGAGGACAGCCCAAAGCCTTGGGACCCTGCACCCACGTGGGAGACCTGGAAGAAATTTCTAGCTCCTGGCTTCAGATCGGCTCAGCACGAGCCGTTGCGCTCACTTGGGGAGTGAATCATCGGACAGAAGATCTTCCTCTCTGTATCTCCTCCTCTGCATATTTGACTTTGTAATAAAAATATATAAATCTTACCAAGAAAAAGTAGGTACCAAGTTACATACAAGAAAAAGCAGCTCTGACGTTCTACTGTGCAACAGGGTGAATGCAGATAACACTTATGTGTGTGTACTTAAAGCTAGAAGACATATTTTGAATTTTTTAGCAAAAAAAAAGAGATGATAAACAATTGCAATGGTAGCTATGTTTATCCTACTTTGAGCATTGTCCAAAACACACATATCATGATATCACAAGATATTCAATAAATATGTATAAATGAAACACGTAAGCTAAAATATTTTAAGAAGACAGCACTGTATGTAGCACAGTAACTTAAGCCTCCACCTGCAGCACCACAATCCATATGGGCAATGTTTCATGCCCTGGCTGTTCCACTTCCCATCCAGCTTTCTGCTTATAACCTGAGAAAGCAGCAGAGGATGGCTCAACCCCTCCTGGCTCTTGGATTCAGACTGGCTCAGTTCTGGCCGTTGAGGCCGTCTGGGAAGGGAACCAGTAGTTTAAAGATCCTTCTTTCTATTTCTCTTTCTCTATGTAATTCTCCCTTTCAAATAAAAATAAATCTCTAAAAGATTTAAAATTAAAAACATCAGACAAATCCAAGGTGAGGGACTTTCTATAAAACCTGTCAGTAACATACAAAACTGTCAAGATAAGCAAAAATAAGGGAAACGTGACAAAACTAAATGTCATGCAGTATTTTGGCTGGACCTTCAGACGGGGAAGGAATATTACGTAAAAACAAACAAACAAACAAACAAACAAAAAGGAATCTTGAGCCCGGTGTAGTAGTAGCTGAAGTCCTCGCCTTGCATGTGCCTGGATCCTGTATGGGCACCAGTTCATATCCCAGCTGTTCCACTTCCCATTCCAACTCCCTGCCTATGGCCTGGGAAAGCAGCAGAGCATGGCCCAAAGCCTTGGGACTCTGCACTCAAGCAGGAGACCTAGAAGAAGCTCCTGGCTTTGGATTGGCTCAGCACCAACCGTTGTTGTCACTTGGGAAGTGAATCATCGGACAGAAGATCTTCCTCTCTTTCCTCCTCTCCGTATATTTGGCTTTCCAAATAAAATAAATAAATCTTTAAAAAGCCAAAGGATTCAATACACTGTGGAATTTAGTTAACAATAAGCCATCACACCAGACCTGCTGGATCAGAACCTACTCTTTAAAAGTTCCACCAACCAACTGCGTGCAAACCCTGATTTGAGTGCCATTTCCCTACAGCCCTCAGAAAATTTAAAGTCCACAGAGCAATTTAAGTAAGGCACAAACAGGGCTTGACTGGTTTGTAGGATGCAAACTTTCTCAGCCCACTTAGCTTTGTGGAGATTAGAGTCATGCCTTCTGGCCAAAGGACCTTCCCCCGAGTTCCTACAGGAACCTTTCTAGCCTCTTACCAGTTGTCCCTATCTACACTCACTGGACTGCTCCAGAGCAGCTGCCACGTGTCATGTGTATATGTGTTTGTCTCCACTGAAGGCCACTGCTAACCCGAGACAGCTGCTCCACATCCGCCTGCAAAAGCAGGCTGGTGACATTTTCCTACTTCCTCTTTCTCAGGACCAGCAAATATCAGCAAAACCCGTTGGAAAGACCCGGGGAGTCCCAACACCCCCACAGACATTAGAGAACTGGGCAGGCTGAGCCACATGAAACTGCCCACAATGGATTATTTACACCTACCAACTCGGTCTCTTCATAGCAATTTATTTCTTGCTTTTTTTCCACCTCAAAAGCTATTATAGGAACACTACGCCGCAGCGCGGCGGACAGTACAAAGGTTGCTAACAGTCCTGGCAGCTTCCCTTTAACAACTGGGCGTCACATATGCACCGTTCACTCCCCGAGCTCCACCGGAGCCCTATCCTGAGGCGCAGCTCCCACTCGTCGCCCACGGAGGACCTGCCCGGGCGCTTCACCACGGGGAGCCCCGCAGAGTGCCATTCCCAAGAGCTCCTGCAGCTGGGCAGGCGCCCACGACGACCACGGCCCGCCACACCAGACCCCCACCACACCAGACCCCCGCCACACCAGACCCCCGCCACACCAGACCCCGCCACACCACACCCCGCCACGCCAGACACCCCGCCACGCCAGACACCCCGCCACGCCAGACCCCGCCACGCCAGACCCCGCCACACCAGACCCCCGCCACGCCAGACCCCGCCACGCCAGACCCCCGCCACGCCAGACCCCCACCACGCCAGACACCCCGCCAAGCAGACACCCCGCCACACCAAACCCCCGCCACACCACACCCCCGCCAAGCAGACACCCCGCCACACCACACCCCCGCCACGCCACACCGACGCCGCAGCTCCCCGAGCCTAAGATGGCGGCGCCGGCTGCGCGGGCAGGGCCGCCTCTGGGCGGGGCCGCGATGACCTGGCCCGGCCGGGGGCGGAGCCGCCGCCCGCCCCGCGAGGCCCGGGGGCTTCGGCCGAGCGACCCGAGCGTTCCTACTTGCCCGGTAGCGAGCATACCTAGTCGGCGGAGGCGTCATGAGGGCCCCGGTTCGGGGTCGAGTCACGAACGGTGGCGAGGACAGCACGGACAGCACCCCGCTCCTGCACAGCCCCCGGCAGACCGAAGCTGGTGAGCGGCGGGGCTGTCGAGGGTCTTTCGGGCCGCCGGCGGTCCCGGGGAGGGTCTGACCACCCGGAATCCAACACCGTGGGCCAACGTGCCAGTTCTGCCCCCGAGGGGATTCGAGGAGGGGCCTGAGGAGCGGGCGGGGACGACGAGGCGTGACCGAGGCTGGGCCGGGGGGCTCGGGATAGGCCCCGGCAGGTGCCTTGGCAAGTGCAGCCCGTCGGGGCGGAACACCGTGCGGCTGTGTGCCCCAGACCCTGAGTTCCTAGCTCTCGGTAGTGCAGTGATGGGGACTCGATGGGAGAGCCACCTAGGGGAGAACCTGCATATCCATGACCAAAGAGCAGGGCGGAGGACCCTCGGTCTGAGTAAGGGCGACCTGGAGGAGAAGCCTGCAGATCAATGGGACGGGGGCCCTGAAGAGCCGCTGGCTCCTCTTGCCGGTCGCAGCCAGGTTTCCGCAAAGGGATATCAGCCAGCATGTGACCTGGGCGAGGAGAAGAGACCAAAACAAACGGTGGTTTACAACTGTGAGTATGCGGAGGGCATTTATTGTGTAACCCCGCGAATATCTGCACATTATGCAGAAACACTAAAAATGCTGCAGACGTGTCATTTTCCCCCTACCTTCCCCTTTTTTATAACTTAATCCCCTTTCCCTAACTTAATCTGTCGATTAAGTTTGGAAATTCTGAATTTCCATACGATATGGTACTATATGGTACTGTACTGATTTGCCAAAGGCCTTAAGACAAATAGAAAAGGAATTGCTTTACAAAGCATCTGCCCTGAATCTGAGGAACTTAGCGTATTTATAGACATTGAATAGTTTCAGAGATATGAGAAAGGAGTTGAATTGGAATGTGCCTTTGTGTGTGATGTTCTGTTGGGTTTTGATTTTTAACCTTACCAGAGGGTGGCAGTGTTTTAGCTTCGCTAAGCATCAGGGAGCTGGTTTTAGACAAAGCTAAATATTATACTCAAGTGATGACTTAACGGGAGTATGGATGTAATACCATAAGCTAATCTTTTTTTGGTGTGGCTTTTATTGTGTTAGAATCCTATAGTTTTCCCCAGTAAAACATGCCACTATAAGTACCAAAGCAAATCTCATAAGATAGTCCCTTCAGAACACTATATTCCACTTCTGTTGGGAAAGTAAATGTGTATGTAATTGAAATTTTGATCAAATTTTAAAGCACCACTGACACAAAAATCCAGATTGAAACCTGCCTCATGAGTAGAAGGCGTGTGATTCAAAACGCTGGGAACCCCAGACCCTGGAGGGGATGCGGGGTAGCTGGGACTCTCCTATTTTGTTGGTAACGGTGTAAAACAGGACAACTGCTTTATGAACTGTGGGACAGTTTCTTCTAAAATTAAATACGCAATACCGTGTGGCCACATATTGTTTATAGAAGTTTTATTAATAACTCAAAACCCAGTAATGCCCTAGATCAGTCAAATGCATAGAAAAATCACAGCCAATCCATACAGTACAATACTATTTGGTAATAAAAAGGAACAAGCTATTAATATGCAGGCAAGAATCTACCGTATTAGAGTATAACTCGGTCAGTTATGAAATTCCAGGGCAATAAAAACTAATCTATAATGACAGAACACAGAGCAGTAATTCCTAGAAGCTCTGGACAGAAGGAAGTTAACTGCAGAGGTACTAGGGTGCTGGGGCAGGAGAGGAGGTGATAAAAAGTTCACATCTCGATCCTCAGAGGGATGGATAAATGTGTATATTTATCATATAAATTGTATTTCAGTAAAGATGAAATAATTTTTTAAAGGTTTATATATTTTTACTGGAAATTCAGATATACAGAGAGAAAGATCTTCCACCTATTGATTCATGCCCCAAGTGGCCGCAATGGCCAGAGCTCAGCGACCTGAAGACAAGTCAGGATCTTCCTCCGGGTCTCCTGGCAGGGTCCCAAGGCTTTGGGCAGTCCCCTACTGCTTTCCCAGGCAACAAACAGGGAGCTGGATGGGAAATGGGACTGCCGGGATTAGAACCGGAGCTCACATGGATTCCTGTCACATTCAAGGCAAGAACTTTAGCCACTAGGCTACCACGCCAGGCCTGAAATAATTTTTTTAAATAAGTCATAGCATCACTTAGCAAATAGTACCTACTTGATTCATGGGTTGGATACAGATCTGATGGTGTTAGCCTTGCTCTTCCTGGCTTGAGGCTACCCTTTCATCCCTTCATTGCAGCCACTTCCCTTCATTTTTTTTTCCTTTTTTCTTTTTTTCTTGGTTTGCTTTTTTTTTTTTTTTAAAGATTTATTGTATTTTTATTACAAAGTCAGATATACAGAGAGGAGGAGAGACAGAGAGGAAAATCTTCCATCTGATGATTCATTCCCTAAGTGAGCACAATGCCCGGTGCTGTGCCAATCCAGAGCCAGGAGCCAGGAGCTTGGAACTTCCTCCAGGTCTCCCACATGGGTACAGGATTTTTTTTAAGATTTGTTTTTATTGAGCTCAGTACAGTGGCCTAGCAGCTAAAGTCCTCACCTTGAACGCGCCAGGATCCCATATGGGCACCAGTTCTATTCCCGGCAGTCCCACTTCCTATCCAGCTCCCTGTTTGTGGCCTGGGAAAGCAGTGGAGGATGGCCCAAAGCCTTGGGACCCTGTGCTTGCACGGGAGACCCAGAAGAGGTTCTGGATTCTGGCTTCAAATCAGCTCAGCACCAGCTGTTGCAGTCTCTTGAGGAGTGAATCATTGAATGGAAGATCTTCCTCTGTCTCTACTCCTCTCTGTATGTCTGACTTTGCAATAAAAATGAATAAATATTTTTTACAAGATTTATTTTTATTGGAAAGAATGATTTACAGAGAGAAGGAAAAACAGGAAGATCTTCCATCCGCTGGTTCATTCCCCAAGTAATCACAACAACTAGAGCTGAGCCAATCTGAAGCCAGGAGCCAGGAGCTTCCTCTGGGTCTCCCACATGGGTGCAGGCCATCCTTGACTGCTTTCCCAGGACACAAGCAGGGAGCTGGATGAGAAATGAGACTGCACCTACATGGATTCCCATTGCATGCAAGCCAAGAACTTTAGCCACTATGCCAGGCCCTTCCCTTCTTACTTTTACTCTTTTTCAACTTTTCTTTGAGAGCAGATGGTATTCCTATTTGCTGATTCACTCCCGCAGAAGCCTTAGCCAAACCTAGTAGGTGACAGTATGAGCCACATCTACATGTGAGTAGCAGACACCTGTCACTTGAACTGACACACTGCCTCCCAGGATACACATTGGCAAGAAAGCAGAATCAAGAACTAGAGCCAGGATTCCAACCCAGGGTGAGTCACAAGTGTCTTAAGTAACATCTTAACTGGTACCTTTTTTTTTAAGATTTATTTATTTTTATTGCAAAGTCATATGTATAGAGAGAAGGAGAGATATAGAGAGAAATATCTTCCATCCGATGATTCACTCCCCAAGTGAATGCAACAGCTGGTGCTGCGCCAATCCGGAGCCAGGAGCCAGGAACTTCCTCCAGGTCTCCCATGTGGGTGCAGGGTCCCAAAGCATTGGGCCATCCTCGACCACTTTCCCAGGCCACAAGCAGGGAGCTAAATGGGAAGTGGAGCTGCCGGGATTAGAACCGGCACCCATATGGGATCCTGGCACATTCAAGGCAAAAACTTCGGCAGCTGGGCCACTCTGCCGGCCCTTAACTGTTAGCTTAACTAACATCATTAACTGCTAACCAACTGCTCACCCCTTGTTTTCATTCTTTACCCACTGAAGATTAAATGAGGTAAAAAGAATAACAAGTATGATAAATGCTTTATTGAAGAGGAGCCTACAGTTCAGGATAATATTCATCAATAGTGTTTTACGTTCAGCTGTGTGCTTGGGTTATTGTGAGCAAGATGACACGAGAAGGGCCAGGAAAAAGAGAGAGGGGAACAAATATGGATCTAATAGCCTTATAGAAGATGCTGGGGGCCAGCCACTTACCTCTCAGTGTGTGTCCTCTCCCAGCTTTAACCTGATCTAACAGGGTAAACATGATAACCTTTAGATATGTTTTTAAAGGTTTATTTTTAGTTGAAAGACAGAGGAGAGGCAGAGAGAAAGGTCCTCCATCTGCTGATTCTCTTCCCAAGTGGTGGCAGTGGCCCTCGGAGCTGGACTGATCTAAAACCAGGAACTTAGTTTCTTCTAAGTGTCACAAGTTGGTGCAGGAGCCCAAGCACTTGGGCCATTTTTCTCTGCTTTCCCACGCACATAGCAGGGAGTTGAAGCAGCTGGGACTCGAACCAGCGACCATGTGGGATGCTGGCATCACAGATGGAGGATTAACCTACTGCAACATGGCACCAGCTCCTAGATTTGTTGTTTATAAGTATGCTGTTTTATATATTCAGTATGTCCATGAAAAAAAGTAGGCATATGTGTTTCACAAAGAAAAACTTTGCATTGAGAATTAGTTTTTACAAGTTTTAGTGCCTGAAAGAACTAAGCTTTACTAGCCCACCTTTCCTTTCCTCAGATTTAATTGTATGTAACTTTCCTGTTTGCTTCAGGAACAAACCAGCATAAAATTAGCGGTACCTTTTCAATGTCTATAGAAGTATATAGTTTTGTTTTTAAGAGAAAAGCTGATGCGGCCAGAACCATAGCATAGCAAGTTATTCCTTCACCTGTTGTACCAGGATCCCATATGAGTCCAGGTTCGTGTCATGACTGCTCCACTTCTGATCCAGTTCCATGCTAAAGCGCCTGGGAAAACACCAGATGATTGTCCACATTCTTGGATTCCTGCATGCATGTAGGAGACCCAAAAGAATCTCCTGGCTCCCAGCTTCAGACCAGCCCAGCTCTGGCCATATAGCACATAGCAGCCATCTTGGGGAATGAACTAGCAGATGAAGATCTCTGTCTCTCCCTCCCTCTCAGTAATTCTGACTTTCAAGTAAAATAAACAAATCTGAGTGAGAGAGAAAAGACTCAGACTCTGACACCGGA